CTGTGACGTACCTCCGTGCGGCCGGGCCGTGCTGTTCGGGGGTGCGCGCCCACTATCGCGCCCGCGGCCCGGGGCGTAAGGGAATTAGCATAGGAATTGCATTTGTTGCCAGACATTCGGGCTGAAAGGTGATAATCAACTGATAAAACCAGGAAATGGAAGCTCCCGTAGAAATTCTGGAAGAGGGAGAGAGAGACGCGGGGGAGTCGGTGTCCGTCCGGCGGGTGTCCGTGGCGGTGGAGGTGCGGCAGGGAGATAAGGCGAAAGGGTTGGGGGCCGCCTGCCCCGAGGGGCCCGGGGGCGGCCGTGGCGACGAGGAGGGGCAAGCGCACCGGCCAGCGGGGGAATCAGCAACCCCCCCTCCTTTCCCCTCCTACTAATTAATTTCAACTGTTGAAAAAGTAGGCAATCCCCCCTTGAGATGTGCCCAAGTAGATTAATTGATATTTTTTCCTTCTCGGAAAGATGCTCTCTGGACGTGCCGCACGCGACGTTGAGGTGTGTGTGTGCGCCCCCCTTATATATGAGAGCATAAACCTATATTTGGAGGTTAGGTGTCGGCGGCAATCGCAACCGCAATCGTGTAGTGTGATCGGCCCAACGGCAACGGCAACGGCAATCGCAATCGCCAACGCCAACGGCAACCTCTCGTGTGATACGGCCTTTAGTCAGCGCGCATAAGGGACATAAAGCCAAAAATTATCCGTCGCTTTTACTGTCGGGAGTCTGTTTTCCTTTTGATGCACTTGTCGGCCGCCAGCTGCCCGGCCGGGCCGCGGCTGTGGATGATAATGGCGGCAGCCCTGGCGCAGCCCGCGCTGCCATCAACGCGGGGAATATAATTCCCTGCTTCGCGCCGTCAACATCGCTTTGGCCGGCCGGTCGTATTTCAGCCCGCGTCTTGTCATTACACTGTTTACAGTAACCCCCACCCACCCCCCCTCCCCTACTCCATTCTTCTTCCCCAAAGCTTCGTCACTTCCACCGGCCAACGCTAGCCCCCTTCCCCCCCTTCACCCCGGCGCCTTTCAGTCACCCCTTGAACTATCCCACACCCCTTTTTGCCCGTCGGCCGGCCGTCGTCCGTCTGTTTGTCTGTGCGATAAAAGAGGGGGGGTTCTCGGAAAATAAAACAGACGTGAGTAATTAATTTTACCCCTTTCTGTATTGATTGCGATGTGGTGGGTCTGCGGGGCCGGCCCGCTCGGCCCGCAGCCCGCGGTAGTTCAGTTGACCACTCGGGCTTGAAAACCATGCGTGCATGCGTGCGTGTGTTTAATTTAACGCAGTAGTTATAGATCGTTTGTTTGCTATTTTTAATTCTTTTCCCCTTTTATCTCCTCGCCGTACAGTTGCCCTTCCCCCTATCGACTCCTCACAGTTAACGATG